GAAGTAAAAAGAGGTGTGTGGATAGCACACCCCTTCTTAAAATCAATTATTTTGAGTGCCAATATCTTCTTCTTCTTTTTTTGTCGATCAAATTTTTATTTTTTTTGTTGATATTGTCAAAACAATATTATCTTTCAAGTTCAAGCATATGAAAAGCATCTTTAGTCTAGAATAAGTCCTTACTACGTTCTAACAATAAGAATTTGTTTTTTCCTTTAAAATGAGGACAACTGGTGGCAAGTCATAGTTATCTACCCCTTTCAGAGGCCGAGAAGACTCACAAATGCATTTTTAGTCTCCTCCTGACCATAGTCAAGTAGACTCACCAGCTCCGGAACCTCCTGTTTTTTGTATTTTGGGAGCCGGAATTTGTCTCCTTACCACTGAGCCACTTGTTGTGGTTGTAACAAAAAGAATTTATGATAAATTGTCATTTGACCCCTTGATCTACCATCCTAGTTGAAATTGACCCCCTTAACTATTTTTTTGGTAAATTGAACCCCTAATTTTTTTTTTAAATTAGTCATCAGACCCCATGCCGTTAGATTTCGTCCAATTTGTCATTAACGTGTCAGCATGTCAATAACATGCACCAATAAAATCACGCCATGTGGTAATAAAATAAAATAAACTTGTAAAATGAAAAAACAAATATAAAAGTATACTTTTTTATGAAAATAAAAGAAAAACTTCAAAGAAAATTTAAAAAAAAAAACCACCATCCAGCAACCTCACTCCTCCACACGACTACAACCCAATCCCACCTTCATCGACAACCCGTATCCTCAAACCTCCATCCCGAAAGCCCATGCTCAATTTTGACCCAATACCCATTCTTCCCCTCCCACAACCGCAGCCACAAACAACCCGCACAAGCCCCGACCCAACCAGACCCAACTTTCGATTGTTCGAAACCTCTACCTCCTTCTTTCATTCGGTTTGTGTGCATATGCAAGTCATGGAGTGATTTGATGAACACCTGGAGCTTTATTACGAAACAACTGAGTGAGCAATGATGTAACAAAACAACTAAGTGAGCAATCAGCATATAATAGAGTTTTGTATTGAACAACATCAATTAGAAAATTCTGATCACAACCCAATTCATGATTTAGCATATAGATATGAATTATTGGCATGTAAGAGAGAGAGTTGGTGAGACGTGCATCAATTGATCAGCATGTGCACACCAAAACATTAAGGAACCAACAAAAAAATCCAAGACCAAAATTTTTTTTGCAAATTCTAATCAAAACCCAATTCCCGAGTGGTCGAGACAAATGACGCTCTCAGCTCCTTCACCACCGCTGAGGCGGCTTCTTCGTCATGGAACAAGGAGTAGCTCTCAATTCTAATCAAAAACTGAGAAAAATAGTCGAAAAATATAATCTGCAGAAACAAAAAGTAATCACCATGGAAGAAGAGGTGAAATGGAATAGGAACTTACCGGAAAGAGGGTGGCAGAACTCAGTGAAACCTTGATTTTTGAGAAAGAAGATAAGGGAGAGAACGGCAACCCCGAAACGTGCAGTCCGGGTTCGAATGTGAGTGAACAGACAGAGAGCTAGGTTTTCTATTCCAACTATGAAATTACACACAAGTCCTCCCTAATGGGTGTTAATAGGTTTCGAGGGTTAACCCAAAATGATCTGTTATTTAACTGGTGACTAATGGGTTGACCCGTAACAACCCAACCCGTTAAGCATCCACCCAAATATTAGTTTTAACGGGTCAGGTCGGGTCGGGTCGGGTTAACAGATCGGGTTCAAAATGCTAGCCCTACTCACACGGTCACAAATCCCCATTCCTGCATGGATGATTCAAATGAACTCCTCGATCTTGGGTGCGTGAGAGAGAGATGAAGAAAAATAAGAGGGGGTGGTGGTTATGGAGGAATCCGGATCTTAAAGATCCGTGAATTATATTTGTTCATCGTACATCATGCGATCAGAAATTATTTTAAATATTTTTATTTAAAATTACATACAAACAGTATCTAACAAAAACTGATCGCATAACGTACGACGAACGAATGGATATGATTTACAGATCTTCAAGATCCTCACCAAAAAAAATCGAAGAGGATCCTGTTGGGTTATGGAGATCATGGCTGGTGGGGGGTAGGCTTTCTTTTGTTCAGTTTTATTTGGTTTTCTAAATTTTTTTAGTTTTCTTTTCTAAATACAAACTTGCTAATATATTAGAATAGATATGAAAAGACTGAATATGGATGTAACCAGACAATAAGGATTAATTGACTAATTTAAGAAAGTTTAGAAAATTAATTTACCAAAAAATAAATTAGGGAGTCAATTTTAAGTAGGGTCATGATTCAAAGAGTCAAATAGCAGTTCACTCAAGAATTTAAGCCTTGAATAAATTTGAATTCATATTTTTTTTATACAAATAAACCTATCTCTTGTATAACGGAAAAAACGGTGCACTCGGAGTCTTACCTACATAAGACTCATTTGCCTATGGGACTAAGGTCATCTCTAACCGAAGGATGGCCAGATGGTTCGTTTTAGCCCTCTGACCTTCCAATAAATTAATATTTTAATGAACATTGCAATGCCATATTTCTTACCACCTCCAATCGAAGGATGGCCAGAGAGCTCATTTTAGCCCTCTAGTGCTCTAAGAAATTAATATTTTAATGAACAGTGCAGTGCCATATTTCTTACCATCTCTAATCGAATGCCAAATGACCATAAGGCTCATTTTAGCCCTATTACAAAAAACTGTCTCCAACTGAGGGTCAAAGGGCCATAAGGCCAAACATAATTTATTATTTAAATTTAAAAACTACAACAACTTAAATTTGAAAACTACAACTTAAATTTAAAAACTACATTAACTTAAATTTAAAAATTGCAACAACTTAAATTTAATATCCATAATCAACATCATCTTCATCATCCACTATTGTAGGAGTATAGTCAGAGGTAAACAATTGTCGCCAGGTCATAATCTTTTTTTTTCCTATCAAAATAGGCCTTACTCATTGGAGTGTAATTCGAAGTGTTCATTTCCATATTCTTATCATCCATCTCTTCTTGTATTTGTTTGGCGCATTCTTCATGCGTACGGTGTAACATCCCATCTTGCCCAGGGGAGTGGATCATATAAGTCTTATATGTATATTCTCATCTCTACCTAGCACAAGGTCTTTTGGGAACTCACTGGTTTCAGGTTTCGTAGGAACTCCGAAGTTAAGCGACTTTGCGCGAGAGCAATCCCAAGATGGGTGATCCACTGTGAAGTTCTCGTGTGAGTTCCCAGAAACAAAACCATTAGGGTGTGGTGAGGGCCCAAAGCAGACAATATTGTGCTACGGTGGAGTCAAGCCCGAGATGTGACAATTTGGTATCAAAGCCAATCCCCGGCCGGAAGTGTGTCGATGAGGACGTCGGGCCTCTAAAGGGGGTGGATTGTAACATCCCACATCGCCTAGGAGAGTGGATCATGTAAGCCTTATATGTATATTCTCAACTTTACCTAGCACGAGGCTTTTTGGGAACTCACTAGTTTCAGGTTCCGTAGGAACTCCAAAGTTAAGCAAGTTCGCGCGAGAGCAATCCCAAGATGGGTGATCCACTGGAAGTTCTCGTGTGAGTTCCCAGATACAAAACCGTGAGGGCGTGGTGGGGGCCCAAAGCGGACAATATCGTGTTACGGTGGAGTCGAGCCTAGGATGTAGTGGGGGCCTGGGCCGGGATGTGACATACGGTTCATTTCTTCCATGGCAATGGCATTTTGCTCCGCCGTTAATCGTAATGAGGCCGCCACTTCCTGTTGAGCGGCGTAATCATCATTTGGCTTGCCCTTTTCCTTCAACCTTCAGGCCTTGTTTCGTCTCATAGCCCTAAGTATGGAACCTTCACCTGAAGACGGATTTTCTACCCTTGTTTGTTGAATGGTAGGAGATCCATCTTCATCCATATTTACAGTTAAGGATGCAGTTTCGAACACCAGCATATGACATACTCTATGTTGAGGTGGATCTTCAAATAACACCCACCTTTACAAATTTTCCAACAACCGTGAAACTGAAAGGGTTTCGAGTTGCCCTCCTTATACCATTCCTCCACTTGGCGTACTTAGAAAATATAATTACAAAAATTAAAGGAAATTAATTTATGAAATTAAATGTAATTTAATTAAATATTTAAAATAAATTGTAAAAACACTTACTTCATCATAGTAATTAGTGCCGCTTTCATGTTTACTTGCCGTTGCTAACAGTGCTTGATGCCATTTGTTTAAACTTGGTTGAAAATGTTTCTTCCATCTTGAAGAACAACTCTCGTGGTTTCAGATATTCAGTGGAGTGGTGCCTTCGTAGAACTCTAAGTGTTTTTTGGACACATGAGTCCAAACACCTTCACTTGTTTGAGAACTCCTCTCACACTATCTTCCAACATCCATCTATAAGCCCTGCAAAGAGCTTCATCTTATTTTTGGGTCCAAGCCCTACCTTTCATTGCAGACGAGGCCATTTGAAAATTATTGAAAAAATTAAAGGAAATATTTTTGAAAGAGGTAAGAAAATATGAAAATTGAAATGGTGTAGGAATGGTTTAGGTATTTATAGGAAAAAATGAGAATTTTTTAAAATTTTTAAAAACAAATTTGGCCCAAAAAACCAAAAAAAAAAAAAAAAAAAAAACCAAAACCAACAGTAACTGACATCAGCTAGCCGTTGAGGATTCAAAAATAGAGCCTAGCCCGAGACCGGCTGACTAGCTCATTTGGGCCGCCCGGTTGGCCCTTTGGCCCTTTTTTATCAAGTGGGGTCCACGAGCCTGGGCCTGGCCCTCGGTTGAAGACCGTTTTCGGGCTATTTTTGGCCATCTGGAACCTTCGGTTGGATATGACCTAACTGGGCTAACCGGGCCCGATGAGCAAAATTTGAAATCAAGGCCCCACCCTCAGCCCAGACAAATGAGCCCAATTAGGCCCCTCCCCGCCAATACAAGACCCTCAGCTATTCCCTGAGACTGGGGAATTGTTTTTGAGGTTTAGCTTCAGCAGCTTCACCTTCTTAAACCTCACTCAAGTCTCAGTCACTTACACAGAAAAAACTACAGCAGCAGCAGCACCAATGGAGACCCAATCGGAAGGCGGAGACGAAGCCACCATAGCCGGCATCAGAACCATGGCTCAACAGCTCGAAGCTCGAATGGAGTCTCAGCGCACCACCCAGCTCGAACTCCTCTCTTACCTCCAATCCCAAATCGTCCCCACCATCGTCCCCACCATTGATCTCTCTCTCAAGGTCCTCTCCGCCTTCAACGACCGACCTTTTACTCCAACGCCTCCTCTCCCAAATTCCAAACCAGACCCCAGAAACCCGGTCGAACCCGCTCTCCCTTCGACCCCAGAAGCCCAGCGCAGCCGCCTACCGTCTCCTGAGCCAAAACTCACAAACCCAATTGAGCAAAGCCCGAAGCTTTCTCCGAAACAGGCGAATTCGGAGACAACCCACCAACCCGAACTGGAGAATTTCAGCCCCATTGATGAGATGGGGAATCCATTGTCCCTGGTTCGGGCTATGGTGGCGGTTTGCTTGCTTGAAATTGTGCCCTTTTGTCGAATTGACTCGTCGGCGGTGTTGAGAAAGCTCGAGAGCGACCAAAAAGCGACTGCGGAGGAGAAGGCGGCGCTGCGCGAGATGGGAGGAGAGTCCGGGGCGATATTGGCGGTGGAGATGGCGCTGAGGTCAATGTTGGAGGAGAATGGTGGGGTTGAGTTGGAGGAGTTTGTGGTGGGTGGTAAGTCGGGGATTATGGTTTTGGGGATTGACCGGACTCGGCTGATGAAGGAATTGCCTGAAAGCAAGCAATTTCAGAGTCGAGATTCGAATTTGGGAGATGGGAATTTGAGTCAGAGTCAGCAGCAAGTGGTGACTAGCGGCCGTGGAGGTGATGGTAGTGGTGGAGGGGTGTTTGGGATGGGAGGGCCTAGTTCAAGGCCAATGCAAGACATGTGGATGAACCCTAATGATACTCACATGTCCGGTTTGCCACCTGTGTTCCCTGGGAGTGGACAACCGGGTTCATTTATGGGTCCAAGGGGTGCTCCTAGTCCTAGAGTTATGGGCATGATGGGAATGCCTAGAGGGATGGGTGGTGTTCCTCCAATGCATAGAGCTAATAGTATGGGGCCAAATGCAACAATGGATAGCCCCAATTCAGTGTCGTATAAGCCGCAGAGTGAAGAGGATGAACTGAAGGATGTTGAGGCATTGCTGAATAAGAAGACTTTTAGGGAGTTGCAGAAATCAAAAACTGGTGAGGAGATTTTGGACCTCATTCACCGGCCAACTGCGAAGGAGACTGCTGTAGCTGCCAAGGTTTGTCAATGCCATTATTTTTATTTGTATAGTCATCTTAACAAATTCATGGTTCTTTCTGTAAAAGACTACCCGATTAGCCTGGAAATCTGCTATATCTCAAAACTATTTCCTGTCTGTTAACGAAACAATAAGTAGGCTTAAGATTACAGACGGTCATGTGGTTTACCTTATGTGTCAAAGGTTTATGGGAAGTCCTTTTTTTGGTAATATCGCCCTTGTGAGCTATGTTATTTCACAATTTAGTAAAATCTCTAATTTTTGTCAATGTGTATTGTTAAAAAGACTGGAGATTTGAGTAAAATTGGTGATTGCCATAGACCACGAGTATATTGTTAAAAAAATTGAAGCATGTGGCTTACCTTCCACTTCATTTGATTCGCGACATATATTACCATCCACTTGGACCATTTGTGAGTAGTGATGTGGGTATGAAATGATCATAATGTTCCTGCACATGATGCTCGTGGATGCTATTACAAATTCATCGAAATAGGAGATTCAACTAAAATTGGTAAGAGGTGTAGACCACTGGAGTTAGTGTTAACGATTTTAGAAGAATTGAGACTTGCCTTTTCATATAGGATAAACCACGAGAAATTTTTTTTCTTGGGCGGTAATGCCACCATGCCCACCACAATGTGGTCGTACTAATCCAGCACTGTAACACATGGGGGTGATGGGTTTATACTTTAGGGTCATGTATCAGTAAATATATGTGTTATGACACAGGTTGATTGTTAACATTTGGTGGTGTTACATTCACACCAAAAGTTACCCCCCATAAACAGTGGACCATATGTGAGTTTAAGCCTAATAAGTATTAATGTGATTTTTTTTCATATTCCTTTTCAACTTGTTGATCAAGAGAACCAAAATAATGCTTTAATGAGGCGGCGACTTTTGGTGATTTGTCCAGAACATATTATTTTGTGTACAGTTTGTTCTGCATGTTACATCTGGGACTCAATTATTTCGTGGACTCATTGCTTGCACATTAGAAATGCTCAAGCTTTCAACTTCTGAATTTTATGGGGCTGGTTACACCAGCAGGAAAGTCTGAAGTCAGTTGTATTTTTTGTTTCAGTTCAAAACCAAAGGTGGTTCACAATTGAAGGAATACTGCTCATCCTTAACAAAGGAGGACTGCCGTCGTCAGTCTAATTCCGTACTTGCTTGTGAGAAGGTCGGTACCCAAAAATTCCTGCTGGCAAGTGTAATGGTACTAAATGAATGAACTCTGTTTTAATTTTGACTTGCAGCATCCCCTTTTGGAGGATTAAGATTACAGACGGTCATGTGGTTTATCCTGTTTCAGAAATGGAAATTTATCTGTATTCGCTACTTTCCTATTCACTTAGTTATTTTTATGTGAACTTATTCAAAGTTTTTTTTGGTGATTGTATTTCGAATTTTTATCCTGAAATTACTGCAAATAACTTCGATCTTAGTACTTAAACTATTTAGGTTTTCGCTTGTCATTTTATTCACTCTTTTATCAGGTTCATTTTAGGCGAATAATCGCTCTACATACTGATGTCAATTTAGGAGACTGTTCTTTTCTAGATACTTGTCGTCACATGAAGGTAAACGTTACCGCCATCCCATTACTTGAGTGATAAACTAAATTTATTCTAATGACTATTTTTCATGAAGTATTACACTTTTCTCTTCATTGTTAGACGTGCAAGTATGTCCACTATGAGCTTGATCCAACACCTGATGTCTCACACATGATGATGGGGCCTCGAGATCTCGGTCCCCCTAGACAATTAAGGCCTCAACGTGCTGAATACTGTTCTGAGGTAGAACTTGGTCAACCACAGTGGATTAACTGTGATATACGCAACTTTAGAATGGATATTCTAGGGCAATTTGGAGTGATAATGGCAGATCCACCATGGGACATTCATATGGAATTGCCCTATGGGACAATGGCTGACGATGAAATGCGCAATCTTAATGTTCCAGCATTGCAGACGGATGGTCTGATTTTCCTTTGGGTCACTGGACGTGCAATGGAGCTTGGGCGTGAATGGTATGTGTATACTTTGGCCATCGGTCAACTATATGTTTCCTGATACATATAATCAAAGATGCTTAATTGGATCTGCTTATTCTTTGGCTTTCGCCCACTGAAATACCACCCTCCTTCTTGCAGTTTAGAACTTTGGGGATACAAGCGAATTGAGGAGATAATTTGGGTAAAGACTAATCAACTCCAACGAATAATTAGAACAGGGCGGACTGGCCACTGGCTTAATCATAGCAAGGAGCATTGTCTTGTTGGAATAAAGGGGGAACCCTTAGTAAATAGAAATATTGATACTGATGTCATTGTTGCCGAGGTCAGAGAGACAAGCCGTAAGCCAGATGAGGTTAGGGGAATATACTTCGTCTAATTCTGCTGTGAAATTCCTATTCGAATATAGTTCTTCCTAATGCGCTTACAGGGTGAACAATACTATAATTTGTACTTTTTCCCTTACAATTTAAGAGGTGGTAATCTAGAAGTTGTTGCCTTCTTCTAGATAGTTTTATCATGATTATCGTCTTTATATTATCATTATTTGTTTAATTATTGTCTTTATATACACTCCTGCAGATGTATCCTTTGCTGGAGAGGGTAAGTCCAAGGACAAGAAAGCTAGAACTGTTTGCTCGCATGCACAATACTCATGCAGGGTATGATTTCTTGACTACCGGTTGTAATTGTTAAATGAAGTTCCTTCATTGTTGTTGATCACCAACGTAGTAAGTAGTGACTTTTTGCATGAATTGATAATGAGGGTAGTAGAGGATCCTGTGACAACCGGTGACAATCTGAATCTAGCATTGTCTTAGGTTTCGTAGGTTAAAAGTGATTTGATTTACAACTCGTATAGGCAAAGTCTGGTATCATGCTAATTAGGGTAGATAACCATTATAACTCTTTCGGGTAATTATAATGCGTTTACCATTGTTTATGCCCTCTTGTTGTCTGTGGGGCCTTTAGTTGAAGATCAAGCTTTCTAATCCTCCACTCGTTTGCAGACAGACATCCCATTTATGAGCATTTTTGCTTCCCATCTTGTCTGGGGACGGATAAGAATTACAGAGGGGCAAGATACTTTCTTACTTTTAGCCACGCGGGGTGGCTATTCACATGTGTCCCAAAGTGACATCCATTTTTTGGATTATGGTTTTATGTTTTTCTTTAATTTTGTTCCGAACTATCTTGTTTTAGGTGGATGTCACTAGGTAATCAACTGAGTGGTGTAAGATTGGTGGATGAAGGCCTGCGTGCAAGATTCAAAGCTGCTTATCCGGATGTGGAGGTGCAGCCCACTTCCCCACCCAGGCCCTCTGCTATGGAAGTCGACTCTAATGCTGCCCAAATGCGGAGTCCATTCTCAGAACCTGCAGTTCCGGAGGCACCCTATGCTGCTTCTGAAGTGAGGCCATCACCAGTGGATGTTGAAATGGCCGGTTGAGTATCCATTAGATCCATCACAATTACTCAACCAAAACACCGTTCCGTTGTTTGTACTGAGATGTCGAAAGGAAGTCCCGCCCGACCCTTGCTCGGATTATGATAGTAATGTAATGAGGTTGAGAGGGACTCCATGATCGTCGTCGATTTTGTCAGATGTGTTTACCTCTTTTTAGTATTAAGATTAGAAGAAAGAAAAAAAAAAAGGGTAGTAACGAGGCTTAGATAGTGTACTTCTGTGCCATATATAATCGAGCATGCAATGTTTTACAGTTACTATAGTTCTGAGCTTATGATGTTTGATCGTTATTTACTGCTGCTATTTCCTGGTAGTCGCGTGTGTGCATCCGGTGCATCCAAGGGCAATTATAATTTTGAAAGATTTTGGATCGGAATTTGAACTCTTTGATTCTGATCCGATGCATTTAAAAACTTGTATGATACGAGACAAGAACATATAAAGAGACATTAATAGATGTTTTTATATTATTAACACAAAATGTTACCATAACAAAGCATTCATGCAAATACAAGTCTTAAAATTCGTATGAGTGACATAAAATTATCTCATTTTCTGCACTTTATTTATTTTTTTATCGATGATATGCTGCATAATTTTGATTGGACCCACATAAGAATGTAAGATGGAGATAGACATTGTCACACCATTGTGGGTGAGAGATTTTTCAACGTGTTCTGAACACAGAAAGGTACTCTATACATTATTATGTGAGCAGAGAAAAGTTTTTTTTTTGTTTTTTTTTTTTTAATGTCCCTCTACTTTTCACTTGTATGTTAACATATTGCGTATCTGTTCTATTTCAAACATACTGAAAAACCTCTCGTGGTCGTAGGCGGGCAACATGCTCATCCAGCTGGAAACTTAATAGTTGTATAAACAACTAGAACCGGTCACCACCATAATTAGCGGGCGGGGTTCTGTCGGCCTCTCCTTGTCCTTTGACATGGGGAGGAAACCAATGGTATCTTTCTCGATTACAAAAAAAGTAACACACTTTGTGACTTTCTCCTAAAAGATATCCTTTTACACACCTCTCAATCCAGAAAATTTGAAATATCGGATAATTAATACAATTATGTTTTTATTTCTCTATTCACGATTCTCCGAAAACTCGGAGTTTCCCCAAAAGAAACCAAAGAACAGTAATTCTGGTAATATGCTTTATTCTATTGAATTAACAAAAAGAATTACAAAACCACAACTTCCATAATATTGAACCAATATTAATGGTAAAAAGGAAAAAGAATCACTGTCCAAACGTGGGGAGAAAATTCAACTCATCAATGTTGAAGCTCTTCAAAGATTACCACCGTGTAATGCAAACACCCCAAATCCAACAACCGCTGCAGCGAAAACCGGAAACCTTGGCGACGCTGCAGAAGAATGCGGTGCAGAAGTTGGCGGAGCCGGGATGCTGCCGAAGACGGTGGGGTAAGAAGGAGCGGAAGCATCCAATGCACTGGGACCGGAGGAGGGAGAGTAAGCAGAGCCATTGCCCGACAGAAAAGAAATGTGCAGCTTCTGGTTCTGTTGGCAATGGCCCGGTTCGCCGCTGGTGAAGTAGAAATCCCCCAATGTGGTGAAATTGAAGAGAGAGTTACCGTCGTTCATGGACAAGATTGGATCTTTGAGGTTGCAGCTGCCGTAGGATTGTGCTGTCACTTGAATCACCGAGTCTTGGCTTGGTGGGTACAAGAACACTGCATATTGAGAACCAAAATGAGAAAGGCGATATTCTAAACTATGCTATTCGAACTTGGGACATTGTTCTGGCCCTCACATGAGAGAAACGAAACCATTTGGTCATCCCTTTGTTGTTTTAGTGATTTGTTCGACAATTTGATATTCTAAACCGCTATACATTATTGAGAAAGGCGATTTGAGGTGGGGTGCAATGAAACGGCCATACGAAGAAGAAACTTACAAAGAGAATCTCCAAGCTTGAATTGGTGGTATTTTGACCATTTGGTGTAGACTTGTGGTTTTGCAGAAGTTGGTATTCCCCAAGCATCTAGATCTCCTACTTTGTACTGGTAGCAGAGCACCTGGGACTGTATTAGCATGAGGAACTGCAGAGCCAAAAGGAACTGAAATCTTGGAGTTCTGAGATTGGCCATCTCTCTCTCTCTCTCTCTCTCTCTCTCTCCCCCCTAACTTGAGAGTCTTGAATTTAAGAGAGAATATTAAGAATTAGTCACAGGATGGAGGGCCAGTCCTATTGGCTATGAGGGTGTCTCTGCAGACAGAATTACCAAATGCCCCTTGGTTTGTGTGAGATTGGGCAAATTAAGATAATGGTTTACAACTTTTAAGATTGTCAAAAGACTCAATGTCAAACCAGCCAGCTGTCTCAAAAAGAGTAAAGCATCAAAAGAATATTCAAAAAAAGGGTATATTTACACATTTATTAATTTATTTTTTTCTGATTATCAAATTAGACAAAAAAATTATGGAAGACACGTAAGAGAAGGATTTAGGTGAGACAACCATTGCCACCGATGCATCTCCAGTCATTATTATGAAATTATTTGGAAAGTTTTTACAGAGATTTTATAGATGAATTTTGTTTTTTTTTAATTTAGATGTATGAGAAAAAATTTATTGATAATGAAAAAAAAATATTACAATAAGACATAAACCTAACTTCTCATAATACCAAAAAAAAAAAAAAGATTAAAAAAATAGGAGACATAAACCTTACATTTATAAAAACGAAAACAATAAAGATACAAGGGAAAAAGAGGGATATGAAACCTAACTCTTCTAAAGCTAAACCTAAAAGTGTAAATTTGCAAAATAGATCAAGCAACATCACAGGTTAAGAAAAGAAAATAAGACAATCAGACAAACATGTATGTCGAGATGCACATTAATTTGAGAAGCGGAAGCCAAGAAAGCCAGTATAGTTTGAAAACAAAGCACCACGAGCAGCCACCAGAGGGGAATCATGTCATACCAAAGTTGGAGAAGACAAGCCCATGTTAGCAAAATTGTTCGTGGCAACATTTCCCTCGCGATATATGTGAGAGACGTAGAAAGTCATTTCTGAATGCGGTCCAAACAAATAGACCATTGTGTACGAGAGGGCCAAGGAGGATCGAAATCAGTTGATTGGAGAGCAGAAATAACACTAGAAGAGTCACTTTCCAACCAAAGACAATGTCAACCCAACTGATATGCAAACTTCATACCAAAAATAATTGCTAATAATTTTGCAAAGAAAGAGCTGCGATGACCGATCCCTTGAATTTTTTTCAAAAAAGTCTTTCAAAAAAGGTTTGTTCTTGGTAAGTGGTAACATAAACAAGGCACCATCAGTTACAAGAGAAACTTGTATGGAATATTTGGTGATATCTCAAATTGATCACGCATTATCAAACGTTTTAAATTTCATATATAACGGTGTGTTATTACCTTAAGAGTTTGCTGACAGGGTGAAATTGGAAAACCAAAAAAGATATGGCCAATGATGTCAAATGGGCAAGTTGGGATGGTGATGCATGAATTCAACTCCAAATGGGATTGGAAATTTTCATTTGAATATTGATTGGGAGTATAAATTGAGTTTGTAATTGAATCATCGTCATCTAGGGAAGAAATGAAGGAACATGAGAACCTGTCACTTTTCCACATGCTTTGTCTTCTGGATTCGGTCATAGGAGGGCACTCACTAAACAGCTACTTGGTGGTTGTTTACGGTTTTATTAAATTATAGTCAAATCTATGATAGATAAATAAATAGAACATGCATATCAAAACTTTTTTATTGCCCAATAACAATTGATGATTAATTACATTCTCTATGTAGATGTTTAATTACGAAAAATGTTAAGTAAACTTTTTATTAACAACTTAAAAACAAAACTTCCCTCCACTTATATAATGAAACATAGTGTATCACTCGTTATTCCTGATACAATAAAAAATTTCTTGTGACATATAATCTATGAAGAGTTTCACTCTGAAAAAGCTTTCTTAGCATTTCTGTTAATATTATTCCTCTCCAACTAAGAAGACAATGTCAACATTCTCTGTTGGTTTTATGGAGTTCATATTCACATAAATTCAAGAGTGCAATGTCAAACATTTTTAAATTAGAAATGTAAGGAATACTACAATGTTAACATTCTCTTTTTCTTTATATAATCGATACGACAGGAGGGAGGATTTAAAATCAAGACCTCGAGTGCATGAGCAAATGTACTTAATCAACTGACCTACACGCCTATTGTGAATGTTAAAATTGGCCTGAGTTCAAATTTTGAAGACGGCAATTGTTGGATCAAAGAAAGAAACAATCTCAGTCTCAAATTTCATAGACGACAGTCGTATCAAAGAAGGAAAAAACAGAAACTTTAATGAAGCATCTTGATATTTTCTAACATCAACAGTATGAAAAAAATATACCTGATGCATGCATCAGTCTACAGTTATTGGAGAATACATTAACTGCACATAGTAACCAAACTCGTTAGTTAGTCATTAATTGCCCCATCCCTAGGGCCGGCCTTGAGGGTAGCCAAGGTAGGCGGTCGCAAAGGGCCCCCAAGTTCGGGGGCCCAAATTTTTTTATATATCCTGTATATAAAATATAAATAAAGAAAACGTAATAAACATCACAATTATTTCGTTGGTGCAGTGGAAACGGTTCCACTTCGTTTTCATTGGTGTGGGCTGTTTAAAACACCTTGTAGGCATTAGTTTTTGCTTTTTTCAAATCTATGAAATTAAAGATAAATTGCTCTTTAAATTTTTTAAAATTACAAGAATCAAAAGGAGTTAAAATAATTCAACAAAAATTAATTTTGAATGAATTTAAAATTTTCTACTTTAGAAAAAAAATAACAAAACCTCATGTTAGTGGGTGGTTTATGTTTAAATTCTTATTATTTTCAAAAATATTTTAAATAAAATTTGTATAAATAGAAAAAACTTGAGTTTCTTAAATAAAAAACATACAAAGGCCAATTGTCACACGCCTACGCGTGTGACAAAAGGCTAGTGAAATTAATGGCCTTAATTGTCCAAATACATTTTTTTTTCTTTTGCTTTTGAAAATGGGTGCATTTTTGCTCACCCACGTTAACTTAGGTGTATGCTCACCACACATCTCCAAGCTTGCCAAGTGTCCCCTTGCCTTAACCCTGGTTAATTGTGATTTAATGACTCTTTATTAATTTAATAAAGAAATAAAAATAAACTAAAAATAGACAAATAAAAAACCGTCTGCAACTCACCTCCCGAAGCGTTTATTCAGTTTCAAAGAAATTGTCCTCCTCCACCAAATCATCCATGGCGTTTCGAATCACAGAAATTATCTCCTAATTGTAATTTTATTTATGTATAATATTCTACTGGAAATTGCTCGAGCATTTAAAGCAGCAACGACGACCCTTTATTCCTCTCACTTGTTATCTGCTTCCTCTCACCTATCACCACCCCACGCCAACCACCCACAATTTGGAACAGTCTTCTGGGTACAAATTTTCTTCACTTATCTGTGCATCTTTGCTTCGGGTGAATGGAGGCAACCTGTGCTCCTTTCTCACGATGTTGATGGACTTCACCCCGTCAAATCAATTCACCCATTCCTCTTTAAATTTGTATTAGAATTTGAGATTTTAGATTTGGGATGTTCGCCCAAATGACAGAAAAGGGGGAAAAGGGACAGAGGAGAGAGATGGGAGGGGGGAGGAAGAGGGGAGATGGACGGTTGAGATACAAATATTGATTAAAAAGTTTAAAGATAAATGTTAAGATGATTATTAATGCATTATTATAGTAAAATATTAATAACAAATGAAAATGTTAACCAGGATTAAAGCAAGGGGACACTTGGCAAGCTTGGAGATGTGTGGTGAGCATACACCCAAGTTAATGTGGGTGAGCAAAAATGCACCCTTTGAAAATAACCTAAAAAAAAATAACAAAAACCAAAATAATCATAACTTTGTAATCCTTTTCTTTCAATTTCCCAGTCTTTTTATGTCTCTTGAATGTTTAAGCAACTATCACTTGATCATGAAGATTGTAATCTGAGGTAACCATAACTTTGAATTTAAATTTTCTTTTTCAATAATCTATTGTTAAAACTAGGTTATTCTAAAATTTGATTCGCTAGTGTATGTTGATTTTAGAAAGAACACAAGAGAACCACTTGGCGTTGTTGAATTATTATGTTCATCAATCAAGTTTTATTGTTTTTTACACTTAGTGCATTTGCGTCTAAACACTTGTGACATGTAATATTAAGTAATGTTAGTATATCTTTTTTTATTTTGATATTAATTTTTAATGATGTTTGATGAAGAAATAGACTTTTTATGTAATTAGCGAATTTTTTTTTACTACATACCAATATACAGGTAGTCGAAGGTCCGAGAACTTTAGGGCCCCACTTTGAAGACTCGCTTAGGACCCCTAAATTCTCAGGGCCGGCCCTGCCCATCCCTAAGTTAATATTAACCCACAAATATTATCATTTATAAAAATATATATGAATAATCCACTTTATTTGCCAAATTAAATTTCTTAACGCTGCACGACTTATATGTTCTAGAAGCAGAGTGCAGATAAGCCAGCTATAAGAAAAAGCACTTGCAATGCCTTTTCTTATTCATGATACAACGTTTATGCAACTTGGCGGGTTGGATCCTAACCAATTCACTTCCTTCTTAAAATTTAACCATCTAACTCACTTCCACTATCATTTAAAAATAAATATAAAAAAACAAAAAAAAAAACTGGTAACTTTAACAGTTAAAAAATATAAGCAAGTGACTTTCGCTGATGCAATTTTTCGTTTCCAATCCAATCCTTCTAATTATTAAATTTGGCCGGCAATTTGACCTTCATTATGAAAACACCAAAAAAAAAAAAAAAAAAAAAAAAACCCCCACTTCAAAATTTACAAATAAGCGAGTCCAAAATTCTAATTATTTTCGTCAATATTTCTCCCCGCCTAAAAAGAAAGCTTTCAACAGTCTGCCTCTTCATTCGCTCCAGTACTTCTCATCAGCATCCTTCTCGTCCTCCCGCTCATCATCTGCACCGTCCATCAAGCTCATCTTGAACCTCTTCACGTCCTCCACCGCCGCGCTCCTAAACAGCCCTACATCGACGGCTCCCGACACCATGTGGTATCCACGTGTCCCCAAATCGCGAGGCCCGTCATGGGGCATAGCGAAGCCGGCCAAGTAGGCCCCACCCCCTTTGGGGTCGGACCCCAGCACGGCCTTCTCGGCCTTTTCCATCATTTTCCTCACCTTCTTGTTCGCGGGGTCCCACAAGTACCCCATGCTGGCGCTCAGATCCAACGGCCCCATCTGAATACAGTCGACTCCATCGACGGCTGCGATGTCCTCCGCGTGCTTCACGCCCTCCTCGCTCTCCACCTGGCACATGATCAGCAGCTGGTCCTCGTAATTACTCAAATACCCCTCGTCGATGCCGTAGTTGGAGGCGCGAACGACGGTGTGGGCGGACCCGCGGACGCCGGCGGGAGGGAAGCGGCAGTAGGAGACGGCCTTCTTGGCGGCCTTGGAGGATTCGATCATGGGGAACATGATGCCTTGTGGGCCGAGATCTAGGGCTTTTTTGGCCCAAGTTGCGGAGGTCTCGGGTAAGCGAAGAATGGCGGGGGTTTGGGTGGCGGCTAGGGCGTGGAGGCAGGAGAGGGCTTCGGGGATGCCGCCGGGGCCATGCTCCATGTCGACGACGACGAAGTCGTAGCCGGAGAGGCCGGCGATCTCGGCGAGGGTGGGGGAGAAGGAGAGGAGGAAGAGGCCGTAGAGGGTCTGGCCGTTTTGGAGGCGAGATTTGAGAGTTAGGGAGGAGGGGGAGATGGAGGAGGTGGTGGTGGTGGTAATGGTGGTTGTGGCGGTGGAGGAGTGGTCGGAGGAGGCGGTGGATTTGATTGAGAAGGTGGCGGGTTTAGAGGTGAGGTTTAGGGGTTTGAGTGGGGAGATGGAATTGGGTTTGATGGGGATGATGGAGAAGGGTTTTCTGAGAGATGATTTGGTGGTTCTGATGGCGGCCGCGGCCGGATAAGTGAGTGTGGCCATAGCTGCCGGTTGGTGTTTTGGCTTATGGGAGAAGGCTCTCACTTTTCACTTCACTGACATGTGAGCTGTGTGTCGTCGCGACGCAGTTTATGTTGGTGCGAGAGGAGAGAGACTTGTCACGTTTGCACGTGCGTAGTGGACTCTTGGAGCTCTCGCCGTGTAACTGTAACCTGTATTCTACTGTAGTCTAAAGGCTGCGGTCCGCCCCGTTTCATGAAAGTCTTTCTCGTCTCAGGCATATTCCCATCTCGTGGCACGACGGGAATTGAGAAATTAGATTTTGTTAGCACACATTTAAGACAAGTTAAATTATGCAAACATCTGAATAATGATGTAAAAGGCTGAACAGATAGATATACGCTCAACTGAAATAAAATTACATGACCCAGGTCAAACATCAATAAAATTGACGTTCCACAATCCATATACCAGTTCAAATCGCCGCATAAAATGTTTACTTAGGTAACCTTAATAGGGAAAATTTCCAATACAATATCAAAAAACGAATAGAGAGACAAATTGGCCCTGGGAATAAAGAAACGGGCTAAGGTAAGAGAAATTAGCGTACAAGTAACTGAAATGCCCAAGATTTAGTAATCTGAATTGGTAACAAGCCAATGCAAGTCACAATCTGCTCAATCAGACTTCAAACTCCCTTTTGCCATGGCAAGAGCACCTTCATAACTTTGATTTCCTCCAATAAATCCACTCATGTGAACGAAAACACATCCAGGAATCCCAGTCTCCTTTGAGAGCTCCTCGTCCCTAAGCCCCCGCCATTGTGATGCAAGAGCCTTTCGGCTCTCAAATCTATCAGGAGTGACTGCAACCGCTTGAACTCTCCAGTGTTTGCTTCTATCATCCTGCATATCATTTTTTTATTGTAATATTAAAATTAGGGACTCTTCTCCATGTAAAAATTGCAGACATATTATTAGCTTCACAACTAAATGAAACGTAAAGGTGCTAAGAAAGGAGAGATATCGTAAACTAGAAATGAGGCCAGAAAGTCGTGCAAGTACACACTACACTTCCAAATGATCCCAACAAATGTTCTTTAAATCTACTTACATTTCCGATAGCTCTTAAAGAAGCTTAAAATATTTCAAATTGCGTCAAAAGAACTTGCATAATTACAGGTAAACGAGTTTCGTAATGCCAATACTCTCTTAACATGTATTATGTGACTCCAGTTTCCTAATATTTTCTTTGCACATAATAAAGTCACAAGCAGGAATTTCCCCAATCGCCTTTCTACCACCTAAATGCATTTATACTTTATACAGATCAATGGAAGGAAAAATTACTAAGATAAAAATTAAATTAAATAAAAAGAGCAAGGACACCAGATAAATAAAGGTACCTGATAGAGAACATATTTGATGGGCGGCTCAATCTTCATTTCCTCTTCAAGTTCAAATAAATGAAGCTTCCACTGCAGGGAATAAAATCATATAAACCGCTAAAAAACAGTTGAACGTAATGAAGAAATTGTAAAATTAATAGCATTGGCATTACACAATGATATGAGAAAGCTTAAACCAAAGAGTATTTAACTGATAAAAATAAATAATACAGCATTGCATACTTACAGGGCAAAATCGATTCAAAACCATGATTTCACCACTTGGATCAACACTCCATCTTGCCAAGAGACACTCCATCACGATAGATCGAGCTGGTAACCATGATTTTGCATGAAAACGGACACTCTGAAATTTTGAAAAACAAGGTCATTGAAAAGGGATGCAAAATAAAAATTCCAACTAAAACATATCCTCATTAAAGCGTTCAACCCTTCTTTAATTTGGTTGTCCTCGGACTTGAAAGAAACATATTAAACATGAGCAAATTCTACATATCCACCAAGTCTTAATGATAGGAAGACGTACACTTAAAAATTCGCTGCCCGCAAGTTCCATTGCTCTTTGAAAGGCTTCGTTCTCCTTTTCAGATGATTGATCAGGATCTATCCAATCTAAATTCAACCTGCCCACCCTTGAAGACAAGTGTGTATTATTCACATATCTTGGAGGCTGGTCCGTATCATACCGATTGATCCCGTTGTCAACAGCATCAATTGCCTGTTACAAGTAATCGAAAGTGTCAAATACAGTTGGAATAACAAGAATTCATGTCAACATGAAACTGCTGAACATTAAAGAAACCAAACTGAGTAATGACAAATGACATTTCAATGAAAACTTATAGAATCAGGGCAAAAATGGCCTCATAATGGTTTTTGTTCTAATTTATAACATAACAGGCTCTCAGCATCAACAATTCCATTCGAGTTCAAATGTAGTTAAAAATTAATGGTAGCACGGCCCCCATTCTATATTCGCATAGAATATGAAGAAAAGATGCAAAATTTAGTAGTACCTCCATAAAGCTTTTGTACACAGCCAAGAACAACCGGTGCACATCGAGGTGACCTTCATCGACCTGAAGCTCCTTCGCTATTATTTCCTTCCCGAAATGCTACAAACAGATTTAACACGAGTAAAGTTACACATATGAAATTCCCATTACTTATATCCCTCAAAACAGATATGACCATTTGAAGCAAATACCTTGTAAACCAGACCAGCACTGCTCAGCTTGGTCTTAAACCCGTGCCCGAAAACCTCCTCGAAACCCTTCTGGTGATGATCGTATCGGTCCCGACTAGAATCATACACACCCCCAACGTCAAGCACAGCATCCAGAACCTCCAAAACCTAAAACCCTCAATCAAACAATAACATCTACGATAAGAAATCACAAATTGCTGCAAATGGTTCGAATTTCAACCAAGTAACTTAATTTATCATCAATTTTCTCGGAAACCAAACAGAAAGTGGGAAAGGGATTGAAAACCTGGGGGTCGCGAGTGCGGACGATTTCGGCGTTGGAGAACTTGTCTGTGAGGCGAATCATGAAGCAGCCGAGGGCTTCGTCGCAGTGGAAGCTGCCGTTGTGGGTCCCCACTCGCTTAGGTGAAGTAGCGGCGGCCATGAGAGAGCGGGAGAGGTGGAGGTGTAGGCGGTGGTGGTAGGCGGGGAAGACGAATGGGAGTGTGTGCTTAAACCCTCTGCCTACTAGCGGAAGCATGCCTTTGCGGGGATCTCAACAGTCGGGGAGTTATTTCTACAATTTCATTTTTTATTATTATTTTACAATTAATTTCACACCTTAGACCATCTCCAACCCTTGGGCTAAAAGCCAAATTTTTTAGCCCGGAAAATTTAGCTTTTAGCCCAGAAACATCTTTTCTGCTCCAACCCTTCTACTCTAAAATTTTAGCCCGGAATTATTAAAGAATGAAATTAGCCTAAATTTTTTTCTTAAATCAATTTTTTTTAAAAAAAATAAATATGTAGATTATTGTAAATTAATTTTATGAACATTTTAATCTAAAAAAATTTAAATTCCGATAAACATTTCGCATTTAGCCCGGGGGGAATTTGGGGGGGAATTTGGCCCAACTTTAGCATTCCCCTTTTAGCCCAATATTTTAGCTTGGGTTGGAGGGTGTTTGGGGGGAATTTTGGGCTAAATATTTGGCATTTAGCCCAGGGTTGGAGTAGGTCTTATAAATGAAGTCTAGTGTCATCCACATACGTCTTATTATTTTTCACACTTCTATTAATTTTTTTTCATTGAATTTTTTCAATTAAATTTAACAAGACGGTCGAAAGTTAAAAGGGTTGTGTGAGAATAGAAAATGGTGTGTGAAGAATACTATTCTAAGTCAAATAGTCGAATGTATTTTTCAAGGCTCCATACCTAAAAGCAGTAATAAAAATTAGAGAACATAACATGTGCCAATTAATGTTAGTAGAGTGATATTTCTTAGGTTTAAATCTAGTGTTTGAATAGTGATATTTCTCATTACTGGTAACTATGAAAAGGTATTAGGTTTAAATTTAGTGAATAACGAATTTGATGCTAATTTATTCTTCTAATTCTCAGACTACGTTTGGTACTTGGAATGGAAAGAGCTTGTGTGTTCATAGGTAGAGATGTTTCCGTAGAAACTTGAAAACGCCTCAAAGACTAACTCCAACCTTCAAGGTGCAGCACAAAGTTGGACTTGGCCTCATACATGTCCTCCAACTGTTTGATAAAAAGTTTCAAAGAAGGGTTGCTCTTCTTTTATATTTTTTTAAATATTACCTAACCGTCACACATGTGTATTTGTTAATCACATTGGCTTAGTTCTACCAGTAGCTACTGCTTCAGTAGAGAGAGCATTTTCCTCTATGAATTTTTTGAAATGTCCCTTGCATAACCAAATAGGAGATCAATAGTTGAGTGATAGTACGGTAGTATATATTGAGAGTAAATGTTTTTTCATTTATTGATAATGAAGCTATAATGCAGCGTTTTCAAAATATAAAAACGTGTCTTGGACAATTGTAACTTGTATTATTATTATTTGTTCTATAAATTATGAATGATGGAACCATTGTCACATCCCGGCCCGAGCCCCCACCACATCCCGGGCTTGACTCCACCGTAGCACGATATTGTCCGCTTTGGGCCTTGATCACGCCTTCACGATTTTGTTTCTGGGAACTCATGCAAGCAGAGCTTCCCAGTGGGTCACCCATCTTGGGAATGCTCTCGCGCGAACTCGCTTAACTTCAGAGTTCCAATGGAACTTGAAGCCAGTGAGTTCCCAAAAAGTCTCGTGCTAGGTAGAGATGAGAATATACATATAAGGCTTAGAGGATCCATTCCCCTGAGAGATGTGGGATGTTACAATCCACCCCCTTTAGGGGCCCAACGTCCTCGTTGGCACACATCCGGCCAGGGATTGCCTTTGATACCAAATTATCATATTCCGGCCCGGGCCCCCACCATCCTGGGCTCAATTCCACCGTAGCACGATATTGTCCACTTTGGGCCCCAACCACGCCCTCACGGTTTTGTTTCTAGGAACTCACACAAGCAGAACTTCCCAGTAGGTCACCTATCCTGGGAATGCTCTCACGCAAACTCGCTTAACTTCAGAGTTCCGATGGAACCCGAAGCCAGTGAGCTCCCAAAATGCCTCGTGCTAGGTAGAGATGAGAATATACATATAAAGCTTAGAGGATTCACTCCCCTGGACGATGTGGGATGTTACAACTATGATTTAATTTTTAAGGTTATTAATATCTAAAAAAATGTTTGTGAACTTTTACATGTGACCCTTTTAATAATTTTTCCTGAATCCGCCATTGGAGCCATGCCAAGGCTAGGCCAAGAAGTGGTCATAAAGAAAAATTGTAAATAAAATGGAAAAGAAAAATGGCTAAAAGATACTTGTCAAAATTGCTTTTCAAATTTTTTATTTAGTCATGGAAACTTAAATAATTAATTTTTGTTGTATTATTTATGTTCATAATTGGATTATTACTTAAATGTTGATAAATGTACTAATTTTTTATTGGTGACATATCATTTAACTTGCAAATTTTGTCTATAAATTTAGTATCTCTAACATTACCACTAAAATAAACTAGGATCGCAATTTTTATATTCCCCATTTATACAAGGGGCATTTTGTTTCCTTATCACATATGTATTTGGTTTTCTTTTCCTAATTGGTTACGATATTTTTATGTTTCCTTATTAATTATATAGGGTTAAACTCAGTTTACTACCTTCAAGTTTCGTGGTTTTCAACATTTAGTACATCAAGTGTTTTTCGTCCCAGAGTCATACCTAAAGTGTTAATTTTGGGACAGTCTCATACATCCGTTAGTCAAACTGTTAACTCTGCTGTTAAATGATGACGTAGCGCCCATGTGGACAATGACTGGGCGCCACGTGTCATTAAAAAAAATTTAAAAATTAAAATAATTAAAATTTTAATTAAATAAAGTACTTAAAAAAAAAAACATAAAAAAACCAAAACCCCCCTTTTTTCCTTCCCCTTTCGTCTTCCCCACTGGAACCCCTTTTTTCCTTCTGGAAGACCCTCCACGGTTCCACCCCTCCACCCCCTTCGTCTTCTCCATTCCCTCCACCCCCTTCGTCTTCTCCATCCCCTCCACAGACAGAACCAAAACCGAAACCATGGGCTGTGAGAAGAGTGAGAGTTTCAATGGCGACACCATGGGCTGTGAGAGCCGAGCTCCCCAAAGGTCCTGATCTGTGCGCTGACCGCTCCATTCTGCAAAATGGGTCTTCCTCCGCTCGCCACCGCGACCTCGTTTTCGTCGTCAATCCCAACGGACACTCTGAGATTATAGATGATGCAAGTCGTTGTTTCAATTGTGGCTCTTACAATCACTCGTTGAAAAAATGCCCGAAGCCTCGTAACAATGCTGCTGTCAATAGTGCCCGTAAACAGCTCAAGTCCAAACGCAATCAGAATGCTGGTTCTTGCAATCCAACGCGATATTATCAGAAGTCTTCAGCAGCTGGAAAGTATGATGGTTTAAGGCCTGGAGTTCTCGATGCTGAGACGCAGAAGCTTTTGGAGACAATTCTTATTAGATTAGAGATTTATTAGGAGAATGCTCCTGTATCTATTGTATGATTCAGATCAATGAAATTATTCATTCGAGACAATTCTTTCTCGTAATATTCTTTCTTTAAAGAACCGGAGAGGAAAATGACAGTAGAATTATTTACATTTCTCTTCATTAAGTAGGCCATCACAAACACCACCATTAGACTAAAAGGTCTCACAAACCTCGCTAACATTATAAATCGTTGTATTAAAAAAATAGCCCACCATATGCGTCCGTCAAACCTCACACGGAGGATGGACGGAGGCATTGTTGGTATTTGGTTCATGTGAGAAGGGCGGATGCAAATATCAGAAATAGGTAATGCAAGGTGTGTGTTATTCTTATTCCTGACATATTTTGCGTTTGCAGACACATTAGAAAGAAAAAAGTTAATGGGTTTCACGTTAAAATCAGGCATGTCGTAACAATCATGTTTCTTTTCTCACATCATTCCCAATTTTTCATTCATAACTTATTTCAATTTTTGTATCAAACAATACGACAAAATGATAAGAACTCAAGATCTCGAATATATAAATAAAAACTCTTAACCACTTGCATTGCATGACCTTTGCCTTCCCCGTTTTCAAATAAGTAACCATGCCGTAAGTTTTTGTTTTACCTCTTGCCTTCAATAAGTTGCAACTTTGCAAGTAGAAGTTGGGGGTGAGTGGTGGTCAGTACTTTCTCAAACAAAACATGAAATAGGATAACAAAATCCTCCAAATCCAGTGACCACCATGCCCTTAACTATCAAGCTCACTTGGGCTCCCTCCACAAATCCCACATCGCATCTCCTCCCCTCAAAACTCCTCACCCCATCTGAATCCTCCTCTGCAATCTTCTTCCCCCGAGCTTCTACTCCTTCCCCACCTCATCGACCTCTCATAGCAAAATGCACGACTGGTGGCGCTGCCGGAGAGGGCGGCGGCTTGAAGAAGGCACTGAGTGGCATTGTGGGAGAGCAAGTGGAGGAGCTCTTGAAAAGAGAAGAGAACAGGGAGTTGCTCGATGGGTTGGAAAAGGCGTCTCAGAGAGTTGAGATTGCTAAGAGAGAGCTGGCTGAGATTGAAAGGCAGGAACTTGAGGCCAAGCTTGTGAGGGATTACATTGCTCAACTAGAAAGCAGAGCTTCTGAGGTTCTAAATCTTCTCAGTTCCCAACTTTTGATTCATTTTCTGGGTTTTTCTGAATTGAGTTTTTGTTTTAGGTGCCTTTTCCTATCTCCTAGAAATTTTTCGACTGAGAATTGATATTAGCACTTCAAAACAGTCATTAAGCACTCTATCCGCCTTATCTTCTTATCGGGATGGACTATTTTGGAGTGTCGATACCAGCTCCCACTTGGTTTTTTGTGTAATTTGTAAGTGAAATGGTCAGTTCATTTGTTGAAAACACTGATTTGTCATTTGCTTCAGTTGTGTTAAGATTTTGTTTTTTGGTTTCTAACTATCATTTTTGTTCAAATACAACGATAGTTGACATACTATATGTTGTCGGGCATCTTCTCCTGCTAAGATTATTGACTCTGTTTGCATTGAAGATTGCAGAATGTCAAAAGGAGATATCAGAAGCAAAATCCATGGTTGAAGAAGCTGAACGTGCCCTCTCACAAGACGGAGATCAACTCGGCGGCGGATATTCTTTTGCAGCGACCGAAAATAAGGAAATCGACAAGGATAAAGAGAGATGGCAATCCATAAAAGCAGCCTCAGTTTCCGCCCTAGTCGGCACTGTTGCTGCATTACCCTTCTCCTTCACTCAGGTGGCAAGCATTTCTGAGCTGATCCTCCCTCTGGGAGTCACCTTCGCCAGCTGTGCTCTATTCGGAGTCACCTTCCGATACACAATACGAAGAGACTTGGACGATGCTCATCTCAAGACCGGAGCGCCTGCAGCATTCGGAGTTGTCAAAGGGCTTGCTACACTGGATGGCGGACAGCCTTTGGAACTGAATGCCGGTAGCTTCTTTTCACATGCTTTTGATGGCGCGATTTACGTGTCTCAGAGTCTTTTTATTTTTCTTTCTGCTGCTGTTGCTCTGGATTATTGTTTTAAGACAGGGCTATTGAGTCCTTTTCCTATCAAGAACTCTCTATCAGGATCCAATTAACCAAAAGATGTTCATACGTGCGAGAAATAAGATATTTTGAGCTTTATTTCAGGAGGTAATAACAAATAACTTAATCGATAAACAAATTCGTATCAATGGTGTCGAAATGGATTCTACACTCTACATGTGAATTCATCGTTACCATCATGTTCTAATTCATATCAGTGTGCAGCTACTGATATCGGACTACCTTCTGTGTATGGTATCTCTCTATCTCTCTCGACTCTTCCTCATGCGTTGAGTCTGCAGTCACGGTTGTCTTCATGGTACTTTGTCTGGGTGCTACGGCTGCGTTTTAAAATAGAAATTGCTTGCATCCAACTCTGACCTTCTAGTGTTTCCTCCTTTCATTTTCTTCCCAATCGACATTGGCACGCTCACGATCTTGTAAGGGCCTCTTGGGAGCTCCCCAATCATCAATCCCGTTTCTCGATTGTTCTTCACTGGATGGAAGGTTCTTATTTTCCTTCTTCGTCCCCTTCATATGACATAAAAGCAGTTAAAGCCTATGTAAAACAAGGACAAAAAATCTATCCAGAATTCTTAAAAATTGTTATGGACCCAAAGTAGTTAATACCTCCTCGGAGGTTCCTTGATACCCACTCTGACGATCTTTCCTTCTAGCAGTTGACGAGAGATGCTTTGCAGCCTCATTAAAGAATTGAAAGCCCTGAAGATCCCCATTTTTAATACTTGCTTCCAGCTACAAGGGCGAAAATGTGGAATCACAAGATTACGGTTACATGATTTACAAACGATTGAATGAACTCACAATCGAAATGCCTCAAAACCATTAGTGTAGAGGCTATAACTTGCCTAGCAATATACTTCATTTCCGTTCTGGTAACATTCACCGCTCATTTGAAAAGGTTGCGTCAAGAGATTAAAAACAGGAACTCTATTCGACCCCAACATAAGCGATAAATGATGAACCGGGTGGAGAGCATAATTGATGAGGACTCATACCTGGACATGAATAATGCAGAAAACGATGCTAGCAACAGGCAGCCAGCTCTCCTCAGGCGACAGCGACAAATTCGTCCTAACAAATCATCGGAAAATCAAGCAATACATTAGCGCCTAGAATTACGGATTATCTGGATCACTCACATGACACATTTACCTCATTCTTCGAAAATCGAAAACTACAAGCATAAGCTCAACAAGTATGCAATTGCTCAGATAATCAAAGTCAAAAGCATTCAATAAAGCAGCAATCTTCATCCCCTACCTCAGGTAGGGAGCCAAGTACACAAGCGCATACACCGCATACCGCCGTTTTCCGGTATCCAGCCAAGCAAAAATCCAACTCTACAATTATTCGTTGCAACCAAACACAAATTAAAACAAACCCAATAAAAATAAACAAAAAGTTCAAAAATTTGAAAGAAGAATACATAAATGATAAAAAAAGATCAATAATTTGAGAGAGAAACGGATTGTTTTTTGTTTTACCAGCCAATTGAAGTAGGGAATGAAGCTGACGATGCCCATGACGGCAAACCTGGCGTCGGTGGAATCCATCAGCGAACCCCCACTGTCATCGTCGTCGGGAGTGCTGACAGGAAGCACCAGGGACGAGAGCATGCAGGCGCCGATGGCGGCGGCGAACGGCGCGTCGTTTGAGAACTCCGCTCTGCAGAGTCTGTATCCGGAGAGGTTATTGTTCTTCCTCCGGTTTGGGTGTTTGTTGGCGGAGAGGAGAGAGGGTCTGAGGCTAGAGAGCTGAGCAGGAAGCTGCGGCGGTTTTAGGGAGTGGAGGGCGGAGGAGCAGTGGATTGCGGCGGCCATGGGTTTTGCTTGGGTTCGGGAGAGGTTAGCGTAACATGTGAGGCGCACTGCACTGGATTCCTGCAAATGTAATCGGAGATTACTGCACAGCTGAGCCTGAGTGGCAGCCACCTCGACTCTCGCGCGTTTTGGGAAAGAGAGATGCTAAAGAGATCCGGAACTCTCACTGTTTGCCCGTGTCATATTTTTTTTTGTACATTATTTTATAAAATTGTTACGAAAATCAACGTTAAATTGTGGAGTTTACATTTATCTCGATAAAATAGAAATCAAATTGGAATATTTGTCAATTTTCTCATTGAACTTGTATGGAGTTAAACTGTCAAGCCTACGTTCAAATTTTCATCCATCCAATTTTCTATCATTTTTGCCCTCATACAAATGTGTGTTGTTTCTGTCATCAAGATTGATGAAAAATTGGATGAAATTTTTTAAAATCTAACGTCACGAATTATAAAAAATTCAATAGGATAATCGGCTAAAATAAAAAGTTAGGAAAAAAATTGCCAACTCCATATCAGTTTAGGGGACAAATCAACAAATACCTCAACCAAACTTGACCATTTGATATGTTCAACTAGTAGAGCTCAAACTTGAATGAGGATCCAGGAAATCATCTAATCATGTTCATTTATCGTACATTGTTACGCCCAATTTTTATCAAATACTATTTATTTTTAATTTTAAATAAAATAAAAATTACAATAATTTATAACTGCACAATATACGATAAACAAAAATATCCTCATTCCTCAAACTTGAACATCTGATATGTTCAATTAGTAGAGCTCATAAGCAGCTCCTATTCAAAAAGTTGGCTTGCGATGACAAATCTCTACATTTTCAAGTTAAATTTTAGAATAAAAAAGACGCTATAAAATTACCTCATTAATTCTTTATAAAATTTCTAATCCAATAAGGTTTAGGAAATCCCAATAACTATGAACAAAAAGAAAAAAAGTATATTAAATCCCAAATTACTAATTGCTAAAGATTTGCGGAAGCAGATTTAGTATAAACAATGAAATAATAAATAAACAACATTGTGTTCTACGGAAAAGGATCATCGCCGGATCATTTTTTTGGGAATCCTAAGAATCCTGAGATAGTGACCGTTCATAGTACATTATGCGATCAGAAATCATTTCAAATTTTAACTTTAAATTTAAATAGTACCTAACGATAACGAAAACTGATCGTACAATATACAATAAACAGTCACAATTGCAGGATCCCTAGGATCCACAAGAAAAGGATTTCCGTGTTCTACAGCCATCATATACAAGCTCATAAAATCTGCGTTGACCAAAAAACAATATAAACTATAAAATATAACATATATATAACCTCTCTTTTCCTTATATTTCATGGCCACTCATGGCTGCAAGCCTGCAAGCCTATAACTAAAACCAATTTGACCGCCAGCCCAGGAGTTCGATCTTCACTACAGGGAAGTACATAAGTTACCGTTTTCAAACCGGACAAATCACATCCTGAGGAATCCGTAAACTGTGTATTGCTCGTCTAAATTCCCAAGTGGTGAGGAAGGAAACTTATTACGTACAGTGGAAGAAGGAGATCCGGGAACATCAATTTCTATCCTCTCGATGCATTTACTTCTATCGGCAGCCATAAATGGTTCCCGTTCAGCAAAGAGGAAAATTCGTTGGAGAACGCATTCAGCACGTCTACAGCTCTTGGCCGGATGTACATCATGGATTCACTTTACACTAATCACAACTTTGGGTCACGCAGCCTCAACTTCTTTCTCCGTTCTCTTGCCCAGATACAGCATTTAGCTGTTGTTGCAACTGTCAAGCGGTAACCAACTTGTTAATGCTATCATAAATGCAAGCAAATAGCGGGATACACACAGAAACCCATCACCATCAACACTTCCCACTCATAATACTGTTACTAAGAAGTCTTTAGCAACTCACTTGAACGTGTCTCGTCTTTTCGGCAGTCAGTTCATCACTCAAGTTGTTCATTCTGGAAAGAGAGAAACATCAGCCAAACTTGTATAAAAAAGCAGGACAAAAAAAAAACAACACTTCCGAAGTACTCAATTTAGACTTGGGATAACTAACCTGGCTTGAAGCTCCGATACTTTGACGAGCAATAAACGCTCCCTCTCAGAAACTGCGGTTTCAACCTGTTGGTTAGACAAATTAGAGAATGTTATAAAATGTACAAAGCTAATCACTGACTGACCGTTGATATACAAGTCCAACAGAGTTTTTAACATGCGATGCAATAGAGTAAAGCGACCACCATAATATTTCCGAAAAGGCCCGTATCAAATTAATTCATCTAGTAAGCACAAGACCACTTAACGGATTTAATAACACATTTCAGTCAAGGTTGAGGAAAGTTTTATCAATCAGTCAAAGTTGATAGAAAGAAAACAATCAAGAAATCTACCATTTGGAAAAGAAAAAAAATACCAAAGGGAAACTGCTGGGAAGCTAATATGACAAGTTATCTTCAGGGGTGTGATATCCACACACCCCTTTTTACTTCTCCCACACCCCTTGTTAATTTATGTCCTTTGATGTTCTTTAATTCATCCGATCCGACAGTCGAAAATTAAAAAGGTGTGAGAGAAGTAAAAAAGGGTGTGTGGATATCCCACCCCCATCTTTATATCAGAACTGGGGCAAAATAAAATATACGTACATTTCCATTGTTCTCAGAACTGCGAGGCAATGGAGGTAACTTTCCATTTTGAATAGCTGAAATAAGAAAAGGAGTACCTTACTAAGTGGTTCAATAAATCTTTACTGATACACAACTTATATCTAGTATTATACTGCCACAGATATTTCACTCACATTCTACTGCCTCAGCTGGTTGCAAGCTGCTTAGCAAATTCATAATAATATCCTGCAATTAAAAGAATAAACAAATTTGCACTAAATTTGAAAGCTGAAGTTTTGAAACAATTCTTCAAGTCCATCCACTATCTGTGTTGAACCAGATTTTCTCTTTTACCTGTTGAACCGAAGTCTGTTGAAAAAGATTCTGAAGGTGAGGCAGGAGAAGTGATGCAGGTACGTTACTGTTGTTGAACTCCTTTGGTGACACAGTGGCAGGCTGAAACATAAAGAATGAAATCACATAAATGAAGGACAAATAAGATTTCAAACTACTGCAGAGGCAAAGTCAGTAACTGAACCTTCTACATGCTCGTCATGGTATAAAGTAACAACTATGTAAGAGCTAAGTGAACATAGAAAATGGGGAAAAAACTGTAGACACAATCTACTATTGTTCATCAAATACACCCATGAACTCAGAATATTAATATATGCACACACATAACTTAGATCTCCCAGTTATTGATGAGAATGAAGTTCATGCTCGCTACAGTTGACTCAGTATCTAACGGCTGGGATCCATATCTCATAAAGTAATCTTCTTTTATTTAAGGATTTTTATCACAAATGGTCCATCATGTTTCACCAACTCCTAATTCTAGTCTTTAGGTTTCAAAAACCTCAATTTGGTCGTTCATTTATAGACAAGCTCATCAATGTTGTCCCTCCGTCAGATTCCGTTAAAAATTTTGTTAGTCTGTTCACATGGCATGCATGTGGGGACCATATATCCAAAGAGATAGTGCCACGTGGGTACAATAAATGGTTAAAAAATTAAAAATTATGAAAAATCTAATTTTTAAAAAGTACGAAAAAACCAAAATAATACACATGACCCGCTGGCCAAACCACCCTACCCTCCGATGACCTGGCCCATCCCAAGAGTCCTATTGGACCGCCATGGCATTCAATATTCATTAAAGCCGTCGACATCTTGATCTCCATGACCATCCCCATCGAGCATGGTAGAATTATTGGACACGGATGACGTGGGATGGAGCATCAGGTTTTGGTTGATGCATGTGTGCGTGTACGGTTGGGGGTGGGTTGCAGCAAGAAATATGGGTTTTTGGTTTTGGGAAGAGGGTCAGGAAATAGGGTAGTGAGGAGGGGGAGGACGGTTTAGTTGGGTGCTGTAGCGATGGCTGAGATGGAAGGGGGATTTGTTTTAGTTTTTTAACATCTTATTTATTATACTCATTTTTTATTAACTTTTTGTGGGTTTTATTCAGCATTTTTTTATACATGGTATTGGATAAATGGTCCCCACATGCATGCCATGTCAGCAAACTAGCGGATTTTTAACAGTCTGATGGAGGGACAACATTGACAAGCATGTCAATAGATGGACAAGAATTAAGAGTTGACGAAACATCAAGGACCATGTCTGATAAAAACCATTAGAGAGAGAGAGAGAGAGAGAGAGAGAGAGATCACAAACAAACCATTTGCCTGGATTCAAATACCCAATCACCAACGCTAGCAGACTTTTTCAGAGGTGATCCCTAAAATAACAAAACAGAACATGAATTAGAACTAAAAACATTTACTTGAGAAGGGTTAAGCAAAACCAGCTACCTACCTGTGAAGAATGATGAGGTACTGAACTCGATGGAATATCCTATAGCAATTTTTTTTAAAGTTAGTGATTGTGAAAAATAGAATAAGCATAGCATAACAATAAAGCCTCACCTTTACGAGATCTAAATTTTCTGATGTCACTGAAAATCGCCCCTTAATTTGCACCAAATTAGATTTTGACTTGTCATCCATAGAATCTCTAAATCCTATTAAAGGTAAAGCAATTAGTGCTATAAGAATTCCGAGCAATTGGGCACATAACAGTTGAAAAAGTTGCACTGTTGATTTTCATCTTTAAAAACATTATGAAAATACTCATTACCTCCAGAGGATTTTATAGGAGCTGATAAACTGTTTGCTGAAGCTCGATTGGGAAGCATCAGTGGACCACTAAAGCTTGGTGTTCGTCGTACTTCGCATTTACCTTTATCAATTATCAGTTGATTTTCATTCACACTCCTGAAGTTATCAAAGCATCAGGAACATATCCCACAAGAGAGAGCAAGAGATGAAACCAAAAGCTTAAATTCTGGAGCATTACTCAACCATGACAAACCTTTCAAAGATGCGGCCCTTTTCTGATAATGAATGACTAAGTACAGAACCAGGTGTGAGCGGACCACTCAGCGTTTGACGACTTTTCACAATAAGAGTTTTAGGCTTGGCCTGCACTGTGTCTTTTTCTGATGTAGACGCTATTGCCTCAGAGCTTGATTCATTTTTCTTC